CCCGGTCCCAAGCTAGTGTGAAGGAGGAAGGAAGGGAGGAGACAGGGAGGAGCCTCCCTGTCTCTCACTTGCTCCTCACTGCTGAGCTATTGAGATCGATGTCCTCAGTAGTTTTTTTTATTTTTTTTATTGGACAGCTTGGACCGATGGAGCTTTGGCATTGGTCCGGGCCATCCACAGACCTCACACCTCTAACAAAGAGTAGAGGCTGTGGCAGCTCTTGCCTCATTAGTTAGGTTACACAAGCAGTGGGGAAGCCCGCTCATGTGTAACCTAACTACCTGTCAAAAGTCAGATGCAGCGCCGCCTGTAATTACCATCCAGCGCTCCGTCCATGACAGGTCACACAGCGGGGGGGGGGAGGGGGGGGGGGTTCCCTGCTCTGTAACCTGTAACAAGACGATCTGAATGGAGAAAGAACTGTCAGCTTCCGATTTGAAGCTGACAGCTTCTTCCTCCATAATACTTGGTGAGGCTCTGCCCCACCTGCCTCCCCTGACCGCACGTCCCTGCTTTGTAATTCTGTATCTCTGTCTGGTGTCGTTGAGTCAAAATACTGTACCAATTGTAACTCTTTTTCAGAATCGCAGGATTCGTTTCATGTTGCTTTGGACCATTACCTTGGTCAGCTCCTACAACACTTACTGCAGACCCAGCGCTGATAATGTAAGTCCAGGTAGAATACCTGCTGCCTGATTTTTGAGATACAGATCCCTATGATGAGCCAGATAACATGACCACTGATCAGTCTTTCCACAATTATCATCATTCATAAAAGTCTTCACAGACAGAACAATGTCAGAACCTCGTGAAGCCAAATATAAAGGTCAGGAGTCAGTGATGGAGAAAACGCTTGAAGCATTAAGTATGATAACTGACACCTTGTATCTCTCCTCATCCAAAGAGGATCAGCGTCATTCCTTCATTATTGATGAGCAGAGAATCCTGCATCCCTCACAGTGATAATTGTAATGCTTTGGAGACAGGTTGTCAGTGATGTGAATAGAGGCGCGTTCCTCCTCACAGCCGCCAGTGACAGCCAGCAACCTAAGATGCCATAGCGACCCAGGCGGCCCGCACGGCACCAGGGGGATGTCCTGGCCAGGCCCCCCCTGGGCCCCATAGCGTCTTCCTGGGTCGCTATGGCGATTCTTCTGCCACAGCTCACAAGAAACTAGACCAGAAACCAGTTTGATTTGCTAAAAAGACCCCAAAACAACTTTAGTAGCTTTCCTCTGACTTTTAGTTATTATATGTTTGATTCATTTCAGGAAATTCTACTTCCAATGTTTTGTTCTTTGTTTTTCAGGCTGGTCTTTCTGCTTTTTGGCTTTTGGCCAGTATAAGCCTCCCTCATAGTCATAGGTTCCAGGCAGGATATGTAAGTAAATTGTGAACCAGTTGTGTCCATTCCCCATTGTGTATCACCATGATATGATTCACCGTTGCTCTAGGTGTCATTGAGATAACTGTATTCTCTTTGTTTCACTTAGGAACAATGGGCCTTCAAGGCGATGGGTTACTGCTTGGTGCTCTACAGCTTTGGGAACGGTTGGCAAATGCGGAATGACACCAACGTAAGTCACAAATGTTGTTTTATGCTTTATAAGGTTCCTTTAAATTCAAACAGAGAGAAGGGTCTGGGGCCCCTCTTTTGCCCCACTGGCTAGTGGGAAACATCTGCAACCAGGAAGAATTGGGACAGGAGGTGTTCAGGAAGGGTCATCAGATTCGTACAAGGTCAGAGCAGACAGTAGACTTTATATAATGGACAGAAGATTGAATCAGGTAACAGTCAGAAGTCCAATGCAAGCAGCAGATATATGGAGCCGTATCACAGGCTGAGGCAGGTAGCGGGCAGGCAGAGTCTTATTACAGGAAATAGAGGACAAGCTGAAAAGGTAACAAGAGAAGGAGTCAAAAAACAGCAGGAACTGTTTGTCAATAAGTTCTCCAGTACACCGAGCAGGCTTTTATATTACCAGATTGTGGTGTCACAGGTGTGGTGGGGAGTGTCTGTATCTAATGCCCCATCTTATCAATGGAGGGCGGTGAGATGAACCTATTACCAACAAGCCTAGACAAGAGGAGAGTGAGAGCCAGCAATGTCAATGGAGGTCGGAGGACAGGCGGCTCTCATAAGAGGTGACTGCAAGCCAGGGCTGTAGCTCCCATGGGGCGAGTGAGTCACTCGCCTCAAGTGTAGCTGGGAGGGGGCGCAGCCATGGCCGACCTGGCTGCGCCCCCTCACCCCTGTTGTCATGGCGAGCAAAGGATGCCATTGGCAACAGGGGCGCCAGGCCGCCAACACAGCCCCGGCTCGGCAGAGAGAAGAGGAGCCACACAGGCTCCAGCTTCTCCTTGGATGCCTGCTGATCTTCCCATCTGTATGGGCAGAGGACTCTGTGTCCTCAATCTCCTCTTCTTCTACCCCCCCCTCCTCCCCCGCACAAACACACACACTCATGCACACATATTACTTTATATTAGACTTGTGCAAATACTAAATATTTGTTTCGGATGAAATCGGACGAAATCCTGGAGGCAGGGAGCATGATGTCACATACCGCACAGGTCTGTCGGGGGGCACAATTTTCTGTTCTTGCCTCGGGTGCAAAAGGAGCTAGCTACGGCTCTGCTGCAAGCCACCAGTTCTTTACATGCTCCCCCTACATCTGATGATTCAGTTGTGGAAGGACTGTGATACTGTCATGTACCTTGGTGGGGTTGATGAGGGCGTCCTCCCTTACGGCTCCAGTCCCAGAGCCCCTGGATGGCAGAACACGTAAAGGCACGAGTGCCGGATGATATCCCCGTGGCAGGGAAGGTCAGTCTCTGTAATGTCAATGGGCAGGAATCTGGCACAGGAGCAGAACACTGAAGGTGCAGGATTCCAGAGGAGCCGTGGTCACACTAGACGTATCGTCACCAGGCAGGCAGAGCAGGACCAGATGACACACAGGAGCAAAGTCAAGAACAAGCCGGGGTCAGTGACGTGTGGACAGAGAAGGACTAAGCGGCAGGCAGGAGTGGTAGGAGAACAAGCCGGGGTCACAGGAGCACAGAGTAGCAAGAAGGGTCAAGCAAGGCAGGTGGGTCGATAACAGAACAATCAAACTCAGGATCTCAGGAACACAGGAGGGCTGAAGGGCAATGCAACATGCCTCCTGCACTGCTAACCAGGGGCGTAACTAGAAATCACAGGGCCCCATAGCAAAATTTTGTATGGGGCCCTGTGATTTCTAGTTACGCTGGGCCCCGCCCCCTCGATCGCCGGGCCCCGCCTCCTCGATCACTGCCGATGACGGGCCCAGCCACCTCCTGCGAAGCTGCTGGTTGTCACCAACTCAGCAGCGGCTGTGAGAAGGAACGGAGCGTGCCTCCTCACAGCCGCCAGTGACAGCCAGCAGCCTGGCTATCCAAGCAAGATGCCATAGCGACCCAGGCGGCCCGCATGGCATCAGGGAGATGTCCTGGCCGGGCCCCGCCGTGCCTCGGGCCCCATAGCGGCCGTCTGGGTCGCTATGGTGATTGTTACGCCACTGCTGCTAACACACAGAAGATGCATTGCACGGTGCTGTGCATTGATCGCATGGCCTTAGTGTGAACGGGTCCTTAGACACCTGCCAGATACTAGAATGTATTTCCCAAAATGAGTCTACTGCTGAGAGAAAGGAGACCTCCATCGGGGGAAATAAGGGTGACTGCCATTGCTGACCTCGCCTTTTGAAAATGCTTTTTTTCTGGCTCTCATGCTGATCCAGCAGCTTCAGTACAGAGTCTCCTACCTGGAACAAGCATGTCATTCAGGGGTACGGGCTTCCCTTTGACCTTGTTAGATTCAGGAAAATAACTGATATTCTGTATGAAATTACCTCAAAATGTTGGATCCTCAAGTCATTCTGAGGGACTTCCTGTGTTTTATCTTTTTCTAGGTGTCGGAGTTGATCATTCAGATCGTCTTCTGTTCTCCCGTCACCCTGATAGTTGTATGGTTCCCCCACCAATGGAGCCGCCATGATACAATGGAATGAAACGATCTCCCTCCAGGTTCCCCCCCAACACACCTCTCATCAATGCTTGTAAATGTAGAACAAATATACTAATAAAGTTTATTCACAAAATTGTTCTGTTTTCAGTTTTCTTTATTTACAAAATTACATTTGTTCACACAGAAGTTACATTTTTACAGAAGAGGTTCCTCTACTAATAAGTTCTTTTATGACCGATACATATTGAAAGCTAAACTCCGAGCAGATATAAAAGAATACGTCATTGCAGCTCTGGAATCACTAATATAAATGTCATTGTATAAAACTGAATGTGACCCGGTATCAGCCTCTTATAGCCCCTGTACAGCAGGGCTGAGGTGTGAGATGAAGAAGCAGCAAATGCAATCAACCAGTTACAGGGTTATTCACAGAAGGGTGAAGAGTTTGGAGAAGCAAACAATCTAGGAAAACATCGCTGAACTTGAAAAATTCTCCAATTCATCTCACTTTCCAGATCAGCGATGTTGTCCTAGATTGTTCACTTCTCCGGCCTTCTCCAAACTCTTCACTCTTCTGTGAATAGCCCTGTTAGTGTTTGGAGAAGGCACATGGTGATAGGAGGAGAAAGCAGAGTGACATCGAGATGAGCTCATCGCTGTGCTGCTTCTCCTTTCACTGCTTACACCCCCTGCAGAAAGTAATGTTATTGTTATATTATCTATATCTCTGATTATTATACAAAGTTATTTTGATGTCTTTGATCAATCCGCACGGAAGACGAGCTCACTATCTCCTGACATTCCGGTATTGATATTATATTTTATCAATGGAAGATAGAAACCACCAGCACTCAGTAAATAAAGTTCAAAGAATAACGTCCATTTATTTGGACCAAACGTCACACATATCGCATAATCCAACGCTTCGGGACCACGCGGGGTCCCTTCATCAGGGCAGAGACATGTGACGTTTGGTCCAAATAAATGGACGTTATTCTTTGAACTTTATTTACTGAGAGCTGGTGATTTCTATTTTCCATTGACTGCTGTGCACGGCGCCATCCGTGATCGTCACTTCGAGCGCCACGATTGTTACTTGGACCGGGAACCCTGTAGGGAGTGCAGGGGGACTTACTGTTTTCCATTATATTTTATCATTCATAAATATTTTGCTACTTCTGATGAAAGTAGGCGGAGGCTCCACTAATGAATAATCATGATCTGGTTCTAACACCCGACAGCAGCCGCATTTTCTAGCAAGTTTTAAAGGCGCATTGCAAATCAATGAAAATAAATAAATAATGGAAAGGAAAAACATATAAAATACTTGGGGGGTTATTCACAAAGCTGTCGAAGGCAGGCAAGTGAGTCAAATGCTGTTTGGTGGCTTACTTCTGGCTTGTACGGCTGATTCCAGCCGTACATCGGCTGCCTTCGGTCACTTGAACATGCTCTGTATGTTTGGCTGAGCCGAAGTGCAGAAGGAGTTCGACTCTGGATCGGCTGAGCCCAAGCTCCAGCAGCTCACTCGCTACCATTCGCCCCTATTCTCATATATTCTCCTAGGGGCCGAATGGCATTCGGCTCGGCTATTCTGCTCGGTACCTCAAAAAATGTTGAAAAATGTAAATGTTATTATTATTTTAGAAATGTAAAAAAAAGAAAATTAAAAATAATTTTTAAAAAACCTGCCACATGCCGACCTGACCGCACGCGACAAACTCCCGCCGCATAATGAAGCATCTGCCAGATGGCGGCAAAATAAAAACAATTGGGCAGAGCTAGCGGTGATATCACCTCTAGCTCTGCCCAACAGTTTCCTATTGGCCGACAACTGCCAGAGTCCCGGCCACTAAATAACAACTGGGCAGAGCCGGCTGTGCTCCGCCCAGTTGTTATTGTTTAATGACAGATCAGCGTCCCCAGTTCATTTGGGGACGCTGATCTGTCATTACAACTGGGCGGAGTGAGCCGTCATTTGCATGGAGAAAGGTCGGCCCTCGGCTTCGCTGAACCTGTCACTACGGTTCAGCCAAGCCGAAGCATATTGCTTTGGCTTGGCTGAGCCTCTCAGCTGCCCTTGGCTGCTCTCCAGGCTATAGGGAATAGCCCGTACAGCAACCCTTCGTATCAGGTGGCTGAAGTGAGCCGAAGGATCAGCCAAAGATACAGCTGGATCCTTCGGCTCCATAGCGAATAACCCTCCTGATGTTACTGTCCTTGCAAGCTGCTGACAGGCCCCCTTTAGGCCATCACACTCCCAACCCATAATCCCTCGGGGGCTTTACCAGATAATAAGAGTGGCCTCCCTGTTTGTCTTGTTCACAGCTAACCGAAAAGTGACAGTGAGGAGGCAAAGATTTCATTCTCTGTAAATGGAGAATTGGAGGTCAGCTGGGAGGTCCCCTTTACCTGTTATCAAAAATTCACCTGGATGAATCGGTGATGCACAGTAAACATTGGCAGATTGGGACTGTCCAAATCTAATGAGAGTCCCAATTCATGGGAACCAATCAGCTCATCTATTCTTGTCACAATCTTATAGTAACACACAATTCTTAAGAAAACCTGATCCTGTCTCATTGCGGCTGTCTTCCATTGTTTGTTGCTGATTTTTAAGCTCCGCCTCGTGGATGTAGTTGAGCAGGAACTTCTTCCTCTCTATCCGCTCTCTCTTTGGGTCTCTTGGCAGACTCAGGCGGAATGTGACGTTCTCCAGGGCATGTACGATGACCCCGAGGAGGAGTTCTGTGTTCTCCTTCACAGTTTTCTTGGTGCTCATCTTTGTGTAATTTTCTACGCCGATCACAGTCTCCACACCCATACGTTCAAACTGGTTCTGAACTTTGGAAAAATGTTCGCAAGATTTATGGGTGAGGACAACGATGGGGACAACTCCTGAGGGAGAGATAGTTTGAGATATGGTCAGAGATGGGCTGAACACTGTGAACACAGGACAATTTAAAACAAGGCCACTGCAGCAACACTATACAATATTTTTCAGGGGGACACTACGTCTACGGATAAGCCGCCCATCTCTCTTCTTGTAGAATGGAGGATTCACTTACTCTGTGATAAGACCATTCCAAGTAAGGGTGAGCTAGGAACTGTGGAGCAATGTATATAAGTAGCCAAAGGGGTTACAAGAGTCAAGCATATAAAAAATGGAACATAGTCAGCAATACAGCCAAGTTCAGGGCAAGGTCAGGTCAGGGAAGCAGTCAGATCCAAATAGTTCAACAGGTCAGAGATAGAAAGCAGCAAGATCAGGAAGATCGGTCTTAGGAAGTATAAAGGGTCTAGGTAGAATGCGGTCAGACAGGAACCACAAGTCAAAGAAACCAGAAGACAAAACCAAGAATACAGGAACGGGGACTAGTGATGTAATAGCTAGTGTAATGGATCCCCGCCATCCCGCGCATGCGCAGAAGCAGTAACCTGTGAGCAAGAATATGCGCCATCCCGCACATGCGCAGAGGCAGAAGTCTACCAGCACGAAAATCCGCCATAGCGGCGCACAGGAAATGACATCACTGGCCCTATATAAACCCAGCAGCAGTACCACCATGTTGCTGGTTTATCGTCAGCTAATCCTTGTTCCAGTTTTGTGATATCTTGCTTGATCCCTGTGACCCGGACTTCCTCGACAAACCTTGAATTCTGCCTGCCTTGACCACGGAACTGTTATTTGACCATTCTTCTGCCTGACCCCTTTTGTACTGGAATTGCCCGCTTGGAACCTGACCTCGGCTCGTCTCATAGGATTACGGCTTGCACGGTGCTCAACACCACTGGCACTCCTGCCGCTTGTTGTCCCGCTGGGCTCTGTTCCCATCCTCAGAGTCTCCCAGGACACAAGGTGCAAGGGAAGCCTCCTCTCACATCCGGTCTCCCAGAAGGTACGTAACAGCTAGGATATCTTGCTAGGGGAGCACAGGAAAGTAGGATTACACCGATGTACACTCTAGCAAACCCAATCTGAGCACTACTACTGAAAACTAGAGTGTGGGCTCTGGTGTCCTTTTAAAGGAGAATGAACCAATCTGCAAGCAAGGTCAGGGAAGCGGTCAGATCCAAAGGCTCCAGCAGGTCAGAGGTAGAAAGCAGCACAATTAGGAAGATCAGGCTTCGGAAGAGTAAGACAACTAGAGTGTAGACTCTGTCATCCTTTTAAAGGCATATGAACCAATCTGGAGGAGTGCTCATAGACAAACCTTCACATGTTCACAGCCCTCCTGAACAGATTATTATATTAGGGTACACAAGATGATTCTGGGACACAAGAAAGAGGCCTGATGTGCTGTAAAATTCAGAGACACAACAGCAACAGGTGGACACCAACATCCAAGGAGGACAAGAGGGACTCCAGCAATAAACAGAAGCCTGCACAGGAGGAAACGGTGAGAAACCATCCCAACTCTCAAGGGCCTGATTGTTGACTGAACCCCAGGTGGAGGAACAGGCTACTGACTTGCACCCAGATGGGTGAAACTACGGCATGTAGGCTCCTAACACTTTTTTGGCCTAATGACTGCTTACCTGTCATGTTTTTGCAGTTCTCAAAAAAATCTTTCACATCCTCTTGTTCATGGCTTTGAAGGATGTGTTCAACACTGAAACAAATGAGAAAAAACAGAAAAAATTACTGTCCTGTGATTAAGACGTTGGGGAGGTTATTGGTTTGCATTGTGATCTTGCAGCACTTGGTTCAGTTTTAGAAACGGTTTTATCTGCATGGAGTTTTAATGTTCTCAGATTGCTTATAGAATTTTCTCCAGGTCATCCAGCAACATAGATTGGTAGGTAAATTGGCTTTGACTCAATTTGCTCTTAGTCTATGTGTGACTGTGGTGGGGACATCAGAGTGTAAGCATTCCCCTTACTAACCCACAAGGGAGAGATGTAAAACAAAATAGCAACTGGAAAAAAACATTGATACCAGTGAGAGAATCAAAGCCTTGAGTATATCAGCGGAAGCATCAACATTGGAGGCGACTGGTTAAAGTCATAATGCATTGGGGGATAATGGTTAAAGGAGAACTATGGGGTCAAGGCTTTTCCCCATAGTTCTCCTTAGGGTGACGGGAGGACACAAACTAGCGTCCTCCGGTCGCCCTAGGCTCAGTATACCACGAGCTGCTGCTCTTTCCAGGTTTGGCAGATGGCCTGTGATTAGGCAGTTTTGGGTATTTGTTGCGTTTTATCACCTTTTGGAAGCAAAGGGGCTAAAACCAAAATGACTTTATCATAGAGGTTTTCGGTTTGGTGTATGTCAATAAATGATGAATAAGAATGTGATAAATAGGGATCCACAAACCATCACAAGAGCAAAGCAGTGGTGGATCAGCTGCTTCCTGTCTGGCGGTATAATAAACAGAGGTCATGTACACCCATTGTACACAGAAAATATTGAGCAGTATATCCGGTCTGTGAAATAGCTTCTGCGGTACTACACTAAAATTCAAACAGAGTCTGTAGGACAGGTGATCGGGGGGTTAATGTCATGGAGCAGAAGTGCACATCACCTCAGTAGAGCAGGCACACTGTAATGACCATCGTGGTGTTATGCCCAGGCCTAAACCTCAGCTGAGGAGAAGGGCTTGGCTCTTCCCTATGAACCTGACTCCATTACTAAACAAATACTTATTAAAGAATGCTGAAAACTGCACGTGCGCTTTACCGCGGGGTGGACCTCATGCCAAACAGCGTGTTACTGCCAACTGGGCAGAAAGGGTCATTCAGCTACATTTCTGCTTTCTTAAATTGTCTGGTGAAATTTTCAAAGGATGAACACCAACACATGCATGGAAGACATCTACTGAATCTGCCGTTAATGACCAAGGGGGACTTCAGCAAGAGCAGTGCAGGTATCCAAAGCAAAAACATTGCCAGCTTAGAGTGGTGAATGTTAACAGGCATATCATTGTGGTGAATGTCATATTTACCCCAGGGGCCGGAAATTCCCACAAGGCCAACTGAGGCCCGGCCTCGGGGCAGCAGGGAGTAGAGGGGCATCAGGGGTGTGGAATTCCTATCTCCTGATGTCTGGGACATGCAGTTCCGGGCGCCGGGCAGGTAGTTGTTTTCTAAATGTAGCCCTACTTTGGGCAAGCAGAGCTAAATGTACAGCGGGGAAGCCGCCGCTTGTTTTGTACAAGTGATCTAGGTGGGTAGGGGGGCGCATTGAGGAACCTGGCATTGGGGCAGCAGAGAAAGTCAATCCGGCCCTGTTTACACCTTTAGAAAGATGGTGAATGTTACAGAAATTCATGTTGAAACTGGAGCTCTAATCAAGCTTCTTCTTCCCCCCTTAGTTTTGAATAGAAGGGGTGAGGGGTTGGAGCCTTAATCAGGAAGGAGAACCCATAAGAATCACATCACTTGCAGCAACTTTGAACACAGTTTGGGCCCTACGTAATCTCGGAGCCCTGAGAACGGTAGTCTCCAGGAACTGACACTCATTCCACCTTTGCATTGGTTATACTTTCTGTTTTGCTCAGGTACAGTACAGTCCTGATAACACGTCTTACCTGTAGACAAATATGGGGACAAGAAAGTCCGTAGTATTTTTGTCCAATTCACTCTCTTCCAAGGCCCACATCGCTTCCTTAAAGTTCTTTTTCCACATCACAGGCTGATCCAGTGGGTGAAAATTTCCTGAAAAATAATAATAATATAAGAAGGTAAAGAAAGCAAAGTAACAAGACCTCCCAAGTCTTTCCTCTTCTCCTGCAATGGCAGTAGAAGAGGAAGGGGGGGATGGGGCCTGGTGCTGCACTAAATGGCATGACATGGCACAATCATGACATGTGAACACCATCCAGTGCAGAAGTACTCTGAACCCATACTATGAGGTGCCGTCCTAGATTGCAGGTGAGTATTGCAGCAGAAGTTGCTGTTTTATTTTAACTTTTATTTTGTCTTTCTAATTTCATTTATATGATGAAGGATATAACAGGAAAATAACTCCCAGGTAGAAGGAGGAGGAGATCCTGTTGTGTGAGTTCTGAGAAATACAACGAGCAAATAGACCTTAAAATGATACATTGAATGAAAGGTTTGTAACTGGGACTCTTACTCACCGAGCTGGGCATAGACCTCGGCCCGTTCAAAGTCGGTCATGGTTGCGCAGCCTCGGTTGTCCACGATGAGGATATTGGAGGTGAGTTTATAGGATTTTCTTATCATAGTCATGCTTCCTCCATCTAACTTCTCTCCAGCCTGAGCATGTTCCACAAATGGCCCTCCACCAGCCAGGACATACTTACAGGAGTTGATGAAGGAGGATTTACCATGACCAGTGCAACCAAACAGCTGGAGGAGGACCCTCTCATAGCTCTGATTGCCCAGATCTCCATCGTCCAGGCTGAAGGTCTCAATCTTCCTTCTCAGCTCCTTATATTCCATTTCTGAGTTTGTTGTGTGCTGTGTTTTCACCTCCGTCCTCACTTCCAACACTTCTGCTCTATTACTTTCTGTTTTACCCCTTCGAAAAGGTTTCACAATGACGCCTATTGCTGCGTTAAAGGGGAAGGATCGTGGTTTTGATTCATTTTTACTCCATTTTATGCTGTTAAGCTTTTAAACAAATGTAATGTGCGGGTGTAAATTAGCAATGAGGTGAAGGTTGTACAGGCTGTAGGAAGAGAACCAGGAGAGTGAACCTCTGTGTTTATGTCAGTGTGAGAGAGGGGCACGTCTGGCATTCTCCATTGAGAGTGAGGGACACCTTTTAGCACAAACACCTGCCACACCTCCAGTTACACTGACCATCGATAATGATTAGTTATACCCACAAGTGCTTTTCTATACCACCGCCTTTGCCTCGTACCTGCATAAGGAGCCTGAGGTGACGGGGGGGGGGGGGGGGGGGGGGGGGGGGGGATGGGGGTGCACAATTCTCGGCCAAGAACCACCAGAAGCTAAGACAAGACCTGCAAGGGTGAAGGAAAGGCAAAAATGCCTAAGTGCAGGCACTGGTGACCAGAACTTGGGAGTGCTGGTATTAGATGTGCAGGAGAAATGCTGGCAATGTGCCCTGGATAACCCATGTGCGGATAAGAGTGGAGTCAGGTCACAGGCCGGGCTGTTAACAGACGACCAGCAAGGAACCAAATAAACTAAATAAGAACAATCAAGGTTGCAGACAAGCCAAGGTCAGCAGCATGCAGGCAGCAAGGTACATACAATGTCAGTGAGCAGAATCTTGGTCAGAAGCAGTGGTGTAACAAGTTATGGATGCCCGGGGCAGAACAACATTTTTGACACCACCCCCCCCCACACACACACACACACACACACACAATCCACCCTGTCCCTCTGGTTGCAAGGATAACTCAACACATGTAAAGATCATTACATTTTTTATGTTGATAAAGAACATTCATTTTTTTTAAATAAACACTTCTTATAGCAAAATAAAAAAATAACTGGTGTTGAACTTACGAGTGTCTTAGGAAGTTAAACATTCAAACCATAGATCCAAGTGTCCTTCTGGGAATCTGCAGGCTTCAAGGAGGAATGTAGAATGGCACTGGCTACAGAAGACTACAAATCCCAGCAATACATTATACAGCAATGCAGAATAATACCATCCCATCCATCCCCCCCTATAGGCATCAAATCCCCATACATGCAGCAGATCACCCTACAGGCATCAAACCCCCCTACATGCAGCAGATCCCCCTACAGGCATCACACCCCACTAGCCTGCCCGATGCTATGCATCAGCCTGCTCCGGACCGCAGCTTGTCCGATCAGGGCAGTAAGAGGGAGAGGTTGCAGAAGCTAGGAGGGAGGGGGGCAGGACAGGGGGAGCATTGGCCGCGGCCACGCAGCATCAGGATCAGTGGACGGGTGGGAGACTTAAAAATATTACCTGCCCGCCGGCTCCCTCCCTCCACTCTGCAGGTCCCGCCAGGGCCAGCTCTGCACCTAAGGGCCCCGGGAAGGAGGGGGAGGGGTCTAGAAGCGGTGTCAGGCAGAGGGGGGACCAACCCAGACACAGAGTGTGGGCGAGCTGTCAGCAGCCCTTACCCTGCATTCTATCACCTGAGACCCTGCAGAGCCCTGGTGAGACCGCCCGTATCCCTGGTGAGACCGCTCGCAGCCCTGGTGAGACCACCTACAACCACATATTAACCATCATTGGAAAGAGCTGCGGAGTGTCTGCCTTTTGGGAGCTGTAGTCCCAGAGGGCAATGTCGGCACCTTGGTGGTTAACGGGGGAACACCAGGGCCCGTTCACAGCTGCGACTCTGGTAGTTCCAGCACTTGGTGGGGCCCGGACAGGAGGAAGAGGGCCCCGATAACTGCCTCAGCTCCCAGCATGCAGCAGGCCAACTCTCCCCAGCTCCTTCCCATGGCGGTGGGGGTGGGGGGGCCCTTCATGGTTTCTTGCACCGGGCCCTGACGTTTCCAGTTATGCCTAAGCAGCAGACCTCCCTCCAAGCAGCAGATTCCCCTACAGACATCAGACCCCTCTACATGGAGCGGCCCCCCTACAGGCAGCAGATCGCCATACATGCATTATATCCCCCACATTCAGTAGAACCACTTACATTTCTGTGCCGGGTACACCGGAGCACAGCTAGAGGCGGGCCTCTCTGATCAAGTGGCTGCTCACTGGGTTCTCATGGCCATGGCCTCAGTGCAGCCGCATAATTTGCATGATGAATGACTGTGTAGGCTGTGCGGCATTGTTGTGTTCACTGTGCATCATACCCCCCCACCCCGGTTGTTGCTTCATTGGTCAAAAGTCCAGGCCAAGGTTGGTAACACAGATGAACATAAAAAATATAAGCAGACAAGGGGAATGCAACGCAGAACAGACGGAAGCAGGTCAGGAACAAGTTGAAGATGAGAGATAAGAGTGCACAGGAGTGCAGATGAAAGACCATCCAGCAATGGGGCTCTGCAGGACTCAGGCTTAGGTAGACCACTTGGCAGCGATGTCAGTGGTGGGCTTGCACATACATTTGTGCATCTGCTGGGATGTGCGCACACTAATGCACATGCTTGCCAATGTTCTTCTGCCTGCGCAATGTCACCAATCTGTTTAAGCATCTATGCACAGGAATATGTACAGGCTTGTGTGCACACTTCTGCTCATGAATCTGTGGGATGATACAATGTTACTGAATGGAATGCTTAGGGGAGCAATAAACCTTTGGCAGCAAAATAGAATATTTTATCATGTACGCCCCTCTGAGGAAGTCCCATGATCAGGAAGAAATGTGTTTGGGAGACACGTGAACTATTTTGGGTTTCCTGGCTAGCGCAATGGACTGATGTTGGCACCCAGGAGTTGATACCTGTGTGCCTTGTCATGTTGGGGGGATGGAGTGAGATTCTTGTACCACTGAACAACATACATGCAGCTGACCTGAATAATGAAAGAATGATGAATGTAGACAATGCGGCGGGTTTGTCTCAGGAGACTCGTATGGCTTGCATATGAACCCATTTATAGAAAGACGAGGGAATGGGCAACCGTGTGGCCAACAGATACATCTGAGTTCTCTACAGATACCCAGATAGCGAGGATAACTTGGCACAAACTTGTGTCCGGGTTACATTGTAATTCTTGGTAACTTGCTGCGCACATTCCTGTAGGGTTGCCACCTTTTCTGCAAGCGAAACCCGAACACTCTAGCGACGCACGGACATTTTTTGGGGGGAGAATGAGTTCTGGTTTATTCATAAGTAAATAGCACCTCCCATTCATATGTAAATATCAAAGTTCCGACTATTTTCAGTGGGGGGCCAGTAGCCCCTATCTTAATTTTGGTTGCCCCGTCTGCCTGACATCTTGTGTCCGGGTCTCAGCTGCCATGAAACCCAGACACAGCATTCAAAACCCGGACTGTCCAGGTGAATCCTGGACAGGTGGCAACCCTACATTCCTGGCAGGTTGTAGACTCGCAGAACACTCGCAGCACAAGTTCTAGGCGACACTTTTTGAATTTGTAGTAAAATTTGCTCGGCAAGTCTCCAGCGAGAGTCCTGCAGGTCTTAGCAAGAGCTCTGCAGCTGTACAGCACTGTTACAAAGCACGTTGATCGGGAGACTCGCTGTAATTGTGCAACAGAATTGTGAAGCTCAGCAAGTCTAGCAATAGTTTAGCGAGTTATTTTCTAACTTGCAGCTCAATTGCTTGCTATCCTGGTACAACAAAGACTCTTACCGGAATGCTGTGTTCTAGAAATGTTACATTTCTAAGTTTTCAAATAGGGAAACAACCATGGATTACAGTAAGGCGCACATTACAGTATTGGTTTATGTTACAAAATCTGAGGGTTTAATGTCACTTTAAGGAATTCTAAGTATGCCGAGATGTAACTGGACACAAAGTAGAAGATACAACTTTCTACCAACGCTTAAAGAAATGTAACAGTGTAGAGCTCTAAATATCTACTCTATAAAGATCTGACGTCATGAACTGTGCAGATACAAACTCACTATGATGGGAATATAAAGTGCTATAGCCGGATAATCGGGTTTAGGGGGTTTTAAAGGTTTTGTGTATTTTCTATCTTGTTTATTAAAGAGTTTTTGCATGTGATTTGACCCCTTCATGACCAGCGACGTACAGTGTACATCACTGGCATCGGGGCTGTTTAAACAGACTTCCGGCGGCTTTTGCCTGGCAGGATGCTCCCCCCACCCGACACCCCGCCTTGTTTCCCGGGCTCTGTTGCCCCTCCTACGAGCCCGGGACTGGCTTCTTTGGTGGCGGCGGGAAGCTGGGGAGGAGATGGGCAAACCTCCGTTTGCCGATCCCCTCCCCGTTCTATGGGAACGGGAGCGATGCAGATTGCATCCCTTTCGGTCCCATAGGTGTCATTGCTGGGCGTCTGAAGCCCAGCTATACGCTATTGAAGTGCGATCTGCACTTCAATAGCTTATTTAGAATATAAAGGTGACACTAGGGGTCTTTCGGACCCACAGCATCCCCTTAAAGAGTACCTGTCACCACCATCTTCTATCACATGGGGGGCTTGTAAGCTGCAACATAGGACATTTCTGTTCTTGGGTTTAGATATTCTTTACTAAAAACTCCTCCAGCTTCCTCCAATGAGATTCATGGATACCTCAGGTTTAGGATTGGCTATAGTTGGTGAAATGTTCATAGACTGGAGACTCCATCTGTACAAATTTGCTGTTGTTTTTTTTAAATTTGTATTTTAAAGGACTTCTGTCATGCAAGAAAAATAAGAAGTGCCCATGTTGATGTCTAACAGGAAATGCTAATTACCTGGCAGTCCCTGACTTAAATACTAAGCGAGTCACTGCCCAGTCAACAAGCACGCAGATCTGGAACATCAGAGTGAAGCCTGGATCCTTATTCCTGACCAGTGACTCAGAAGGAATTGAAGTCAGGGGACTAACGTGACATCCAGGGCTACTTTGTGCATTACTCCTTTTCTGTTAATCACATTATATTGTAAATGTGGAGAAAAACTACCCAGAGACGTTTTATAATGACACCGACGCTGTATGAAAACTAAGTGTGAATGATAAATCTGCCCGGTGTGCATGAAAACCCTCGAGAGCTCATGTAATCATTGAAGAGTCCGGTGTCAGTGTATACATTTATTTTATTTTATTCAGAGACAGAAATAAGATCATTATAAACTGTACAGATGATTGGATGAAATAAAGAGGTTTTGTATGTTCTGTTGTATATTTTCTTCATAAATTGTGATAAAAATAATAGAAAATAAAACTGAAAATATCTTTTTATTTTGTAATATTTTGTTAGGATATTAATATGTTGTATCCTTCTAACCAGCCAACAGCTGGAGCTTTTGTTTCCATTTTTCCCTTTACCTTTTATCAACATAGCTCAAGTTTAAATTTACATAAGAGAATGTGCTAGAGAGAGAGAGAGAGCAGGGGGAGAGAGAAGAGAGAGAGAGAGAAGGGAGGGAGAGAGAGAAGGGGGAGAGAGAAGGGAGAGAGAGAGAAGGGGGGAGAGAAGGGAGAGAGAGAGAGAGAAGGGGGGGAGGGGGAGAGAGGAGTGAGAGAAAGAAGGGAGAGAGAGAGGGGAAAGAGAGAGGAATGAGAGAGAGGGAGAGAGAGAGGGGGAGAGAGAGAGAGGAGAGAAGGTAAAAGAGAGACAACATGAGTTTAAATATAGAAAAACAATTATATAAAATATTAAAATTCAACGGACTCAACAGCATCAAAATTTCCTTTTAGGAGATTTCATCATTTGACATTGTGATCTGCTGCTAATGGAAACCTGTCATTAGGAAATATTGGTGCTGTCACGGGTGGCCACCTTAAGGAGCCTTGCTGTCATGCTGATCCTCTGGCCTTAGAGTTTCTGGCTTGAAACAAGCATGCAGCCAGTGAAGTCATGATTTGCATACTTGCTCAGGGTTAACATTTTCTGCTATAGGTCAGCGCAGACCACCAGATCTTTCCCCGTCATGGGATTTCCTTTAGGAAGTTAGATGGGGATTTTAAAAGTCTAATTCCTTACTTGCACCACGTACTCCCCACCCCTCGATGAGACCATGGAAGAGGGTCTAGAACAAAAAGAGGACTAGGTCCTAATCTTCCAACAGGAAAAAGTTTACCAAACCGTTCTGTTCCCATCAAGTCTTGTCTGTGGCCCTATTCACACCCTACGCACATTTATTAAGGAAAGTGTATTTCAATTTAAAAAAAATAGTTACAAAAAAATTCCAACCAATAAAAATGTTTTGGGTAGAACAGGAAAGGGCTGGAGCCTCTGGCAGGTATTGGGGTGATTTCCTGTTAGGACAGGAAGTGAGGGGAAATCTCTACATCAAGGGCACAGGCAAAAACACATCTTTAGTAGAGAGAGGAAGGGTAAATCTCTCTGAAAACGTTTTTATGACTGCCAGTGCCTTCCTGTCCCAGTGACAACTGCTCCCATTGATTCTAAGGGGTGTCACAGGGACAGGAAGTGAGGGGAAAATCTCACAGACAGAAATCTGTCCAGAACTGAAGAAACAAATTGGCTTGAGTTAGACTTTAACTAACATGGTAAAGTGACCCTATAGTTTGCATGGGGGAGGGACAGGAGGCAAAATTTGCCATAATAAGTACCAAGGGGCAGCAGAGATCCCCCTCTATGGGATGCAGAGTGGGGTTCTTCTGCATAGAGGAGGAGGGGGGGGGGCAGACCTGGTGAGGGATCTAAAGGTCCCTTTAGCAGAATTCAAGATTGGATCAGTGAAGCTGACAATTGTTACATTGTAAACATTTGGCTAGATCCAATGGGAATCCTAGTTTGTGGGAACCAATCCACTGATCCCTACTTGTCACAATGTTACTGAACCACACAAGACCCCTTTGATTTTTTCTTCTCCTTCTTCTCTTTCTTGTTTGTGTCTTCCTTTATTGCTTTCGGATCTTCATATCTAAGCTCCGCCTCGTGGATGTAGTTGAGGAGGAATTTCTTCCTCTCTATGCGATCTTTCTTCGGGTCTCTTGGCAGACCCAGGCGGTATGTGACGTTGTCCAGGGCATGTACGATGATCGTCAGGATGTCGGTGGTTCTCTTCAGAGTTTTCACATTGCTTTCCTTTGTGTAATTCTCGATGGAGATCACGGTCTCCGCTCCCATAAGTCTGAATCTTTTCTCCAAGTCAAAGAAATCTCCATTGGTTTTTTTGGTGAGAACAACGATGGGGACAACTCCTGAAAAAGGAATTCCGGTATAAAATCAAGTCACACACTACGAATGAGGACAACGAGCACCCCACCAGATCCTTCCACAACCTCTGCAAGGATATCAGCATTGTATATTCTGTTGTTCATATCCTGCAAGCACCTTTAGAAGGCGTCCTTCAGTGTTCCTGGGAAGACCATCAATCCCAGGCACACGGAGGTTATCAAGTCTTCAACTTCCACCTAAGCTCTGCTCCCCGCCCCCACAGTCCATTTGTCCAATGAGGGTTCTGTTTAGACAGCCGGGGTGCTTACATTGGACAGAGGGATCATGAGTAGGGGCAGGACTGAATCAAGTTATACATAACTCTTCCTGGGATGAGAGATCTTCCTGGCTGCACAGAAGAAAGATTTGAAAATACTTGCAGGTTATACACGGCATGTTCTATGATACACTTTTTAGGGGTGCTGGGCAGGTGCTACATTGTATCATGCAAGTTGCTAGAGCACCATCAACCTTCCCCCTTCCCCGAGCTGCCAAGGGGTGAACCCAGTCCTCACCAAGACAGGTTGCTTGAGCACCATCAACCTTCCCCGAGCTCACAAGGGGTGAACCCAGTCCTCGCCCAGACAGGTTGCTTGAGCACCATCAACCTTCCCCGAGCTGCCAAGGGGTGAACCCAGTCCTCACCCAGACAGGTTGCTTGAGCACCATCAACCTTCCCCGAGCTCCCAAGGGGTGAACCCAGTCCTCGCCCAGACAGGTTGCTTGAGCACCATCAACCTTCCCCGAGCTGCCAAGGGGTGAACCCAGTCCTCACCCAGACAGGTTGCTTGAGCACCATCAACCTTCCGCGAGCTGCCAAGGGGTGAACCCAGTCCTCGCCCAGACAGGTTGCTTGAGCACCACCAACCTTCCCCGAGCTGCCAAGGGGTGAACCCAGTCCTCACCCAGACAGGTTGCTTGAGCACCATCAACCTTCCGCGAGCTGCCAAGGGGTGAACCCAGTCCTCGCCCAGACAGCCATGTGCTTTTCTACATACCCACATCTACAGTTGACTGGCTAGGGGACTCATAAAATCAGTTCACCAAGGAGGGTTTGGCACATAAGCCAAATCTGTTGTCGTTAGTGACATAGAAAATGAGGGTGGCACGGTGTGCAGTAAAACTCCTGCACCTCATTCTCTTCAAAAAGTTTGGGGTTCCTCAAACCTCTCTCAATGTCAAATTTAGCCTTTCACTACACCATCCAAAACTAGTTAAAAGGTTTTGGCTATACACACATTTTACAATCACACACAACGAGACACCAACAACTGTAAAAGATGGCCGTTCACAATTTAATTCTAAATAATAAAAAATATTTAGTGCATTGACAGAAAGAATTATAAGGTGGCGCTCAGTGCATGTTCCTGACAACCCGTGATATTGGAAATGAATGGGTGTATTAAGCTGAATATTTTACCTACACCGGGGATGGGCAAATCATTTTCTGTTGTTTGCGTAACCTCGCGAACACCTGAAGCCCGGCATCCAACATTAGACATTGACGCCGGAATCTGCACGGCCATTGGCTTTCATCGCTTCCTGGTTCTAAGTACAGCAAGTCTGAACTAGTCCACAGAACATGTATGAGCAAGATCTATGTGTTGTGGAAACTTGCTTTTGATTGCATGTTACCGCATTGCACAGTAATGCATGACATGATGTCCAGTGCAGTGTAGTGTTGTTCTTTTAAAATGACCCTCCACAGCACGAGTAGTAGTAGCCCACCATGCACCCGCCCTGTAGAAAACCACAATGCGCATGTCATGAGGCCGCTGAAAAAATATTGCAGCTCCAGTTTTTTGTCCGTTGCCGTGCGTTGGCAGGATATCCATTGTTTACAATCTGCAGTAGTGCAATACACATTAAAGAGCAAAACGCTGCACGGTAGCCCATGTGTGATAATGCACCACAATGGACTGCGAAGGTCTGACGGAACCCTTAGGATCTGTAGTCACATTAGCTAAGAGGCTATTTACCTGTCATCTTGTCACAGTTCTCAAGAAAAGCTTTCACATCCTCCTGTTCATGTTCTGGAAGATTGTATGCAGCACTGAAAGGAAAGAAATAGAACATTCACTCTACAGGAGGTGATACGGTTGGAGACAGGGCTGGATTTCCCACAAGGCCAACCAAGGCCCGGCCTCGGGGCAGCAGTAGAGGGGCAACAGGGGTGTGGAATTCCTATCTCCCGACACCCAGGACATGCAGTTCTGGGCGCCGGGCACCAGGCGGTTGTTTTCTACATTTAGCCCTGCTTTGGGCAAGCAGGGCTAAATGTAGAGTGGGGAAGCCGCCGCTTGTTTTGTGCAAGTGATCACTTGTACAAAATCACTTGTATGCAGCCTGCATTCAGGGGCGAGGGGGGGGGGGGCGCATTGCGGAAACCTGGCCTTGGGGCAGCAGAGGAAGTAAATCCGGCCCTGGTTGGAGGTTTGCATTGTGGATTTATTTTCCAAAAGGTTTTTATCTGCAAAGAGTTTACGTAGCCTCCCCATGTTTGTGTGAGTTTCCAGTAATGTTCTGGTGGAGGAATTGGCTTTGACCCAATATAGTTCTAAAGTATGTGCAGGAAATGAAGTGTATAAAAGCTACTTTGCATTATATGACAACGTATTTGCTGTGAAGTACAGTAGCCTGCTATGGACCGTGTAGAACACCGCCGTGTGCATGCCATGAAGCCATTCAAAAAATGCTGCATTTCGAGTTTTTTCTTCCATTGTCATGACTGGATGATAGACGCCCATTCATTTTTAACAGACTGTTCTAATGCAATGCAAATTTAATGAGTAAAGTATTGAACGGGATGACATGCGCAATAACATACCACCACGGACTGCAATGGGGTCCTTAGGTGTTTTTAATGTCAACACTTCAGCATAACAATAGAAATGCACAAAAAAAATAAAGGAAACAACATGTATATTTTACCAAAAAATTGGGTAATAATAAATGTTTTATCATTTAATATAGGGGAAACTGTTTTTTTTTTTTGCCATTCAGTAACAAGCACTTTTGGGGCCTCAAGGGTACCCCTTCATTCTGAGCCTGATGAAGGGGTACCCTTGAGGCCCCCGAAAGTGCTTGACGTTTGGTGTGCTGGCGACTCGTACTTGATATCATTGAAAGGGAAACACGGTATGCCTAAATCACTTTGCTCATAGTTAGGAATAAAACATCTACTTGTCAGATGGAGGCAGTGTGGGTGCAAATGGAGGACAATTAGAGTTGATATCTGAATGAAAGAAACCTGATCAGTTGTAGGATCTAAAATTTATGATCACAGCTTGTTTCCATCAGAGGCCAGAGAACAGCTGCCTCTGAGGGCCAATATTCCTGTTGTGTTTTGGTTATGAGTTCTGTTCTATTTTGGTTAAACATCTCCGATAACACGTCTCACCTGTAGATGAATATGGGAACTAGAAAGTCTGTAGTATTCTTGTTCAGTTCACTCTCTTCCAAGGCCGACATCGCTTCCTTAAAGTTCTCTTTCCACTCCACAGGCTTATCCAATGGGTGAAAATTTCCTGGAAATTAAAGATGTAAGGAGGTAAATACAAGAAAGGGAACAAGAGCTTACAATCAACTGATTCCGTTTACCCAAATTACCGGAGAGGCAACGAGAATATACGGGAAACAGTTGCATGGTATCCACTGTAAAGTCATATAATACTATTTTTCAAGCAACATGATTCTGGGTCCTAATGAGCATCCCCAAGCATCCGTATACAATCTGGCAGCTAGTTTAATAACCTCCACAGACCTCCAGGCATTGCAGCTGTATATACATTATGTAAATAATACATCATACAAAGACATACTAATAGTAGACAATTGTGCGTTTCCAATTTTGTAGTAGGTTTGGGAAATCTCCTCTTCTGTTCCACCATGACTGTCCCCTGTGTACAAAGCCAGCTCCATAAAGACATGGTGTGACCAGTATGGTGTGGAGGAACTCGGGTGTCCTGCATAGAGCCCTGACCTCAACCCTACTGAACACCTCTGGGATCTTTTTGAATGCTTGGAGCCATCTCTCTAAGCATTCAAAATGATCCCAGATCCCAATGATCTCTTCAGCCAAAAGTCAGGTATTAATGTTAGACGAGAAGGCAAGTCTTCTGACTTTTGGCTCAGCTCACCTTGCTCTCTAGCTACACAGGGCCTCAGTTTTTTTATACACACACACACACAGTTTCTCCCCAAGACTACCTGCTCCCTTCCTTCACCCCACTAACACAGATGTCAAAGCAGTCCTCCTTGGACTGACACCACTGACAGAGTAGCATTTTTTCCTTTCAGTGACACCACCAGAGCAGGGGCAATTTTCCTCACACCGATGCTGGGGCATTTCTTCCTTTAGCACTGTTAGCTCCATATTTTACTCTGGGGCAAAATGGGTTCGGCTATCAAACTCATACATTACATACATTTTGGCATGGCATGCTGTGTGTGCCGCTATAATCCCCACCTCCTGGTCTACACCACCAGAATGCTGCCCCGGGATCAGTGGTCATAATGGAGCTCTATGTCAGTGTTCAGAATAGTGCCCCTGTGTCAGTGGTCATAATGGGGCTCTATGTCAGTGTTCAGAATAGTGCCTGTCAGAGACCTGCTGCTTCTGCGCATGTGCCAAGCCGGGGTTCCCGTAATGGGCCTGAGCGCATGCGCGCGCCAAGGACTGTCCGCGGAAGAACGCTCTCCAAAAGGCTCACAGGAAGTGACACTCTCCAAAAGGCTCACAGCAAGTGATGCTATCCAAATCATTTCCTTCACTATTTAAACCCAGACTCCACACCTACTCATTGCTGGATTGTCTCTGCAACTGCCCTGACGTCTCCTGTTCCTTGTTTCCAGTACCATTGATTATCGACCCGGATTTACTTTGTTTAATCTTTTTAATCTCTTGAATAAAATTTGCTTGGCATGCTTAATGTTTAAATCCGTTTAAATTAGTTCATTTTTACTCTTCGGTTATTGGATTGCTAGCAAGATATGACCCGCTGGCTCAGAACAAGATGCCACTCGAGACTAATATGGGCGGTCCGCTATGCCCACTCCGCCCCTCCACTCTCATACTCCTATCAGCATAAGGCCACGAGTGCTAGCCCCGCCCAGCTGTCAGTTTTATAAATCGCGGCTTTCCCGCTAATCTGTTCCGTCCACTTTTCACTAGAGCTTGACAAAGAGGCATAGCCTCGAAACGCGTAGCGCTTCTGTCCTCCCCTCTGACACCCTCTACCA